AACAAAAATTTTCTAGACACGCCACTGCTATCAGGTCACCTTTAATACTGACTTAAACACTGACTTAAATGTTTTCAATATTTGTTCAATTCTCTTCCAAACACCAGCTGTCTATTGTGTCTATTGTAAGTTTTTGGTGTCTACTAAAATAACAATAAAAGTAATCTTACTTTCGACCTGTGTGTTTTTATTCCAAAAAAAAAACCATGTATAATATTTTTATTAAGTGGGATGAAGTTTGTGTTTCAGTCATGTATGACTGTTGGTGTTAACTGTATTAAATTTATTAGACATTATGAAACAGTCTTTTTATCTTTTTATAGCCAATAATTTTGACAAAGTGCTTAATACTTGTTTTAAATAATTAATCACAGTTAAATTAAGAGAGGATGGCAGAGAAAACACTGGAGCTAAGATAAGCTATGATGTCATCAAGTACACTGTCATTGAATGATTCTGCTGTGTTATGTTTTTGCAAAGTCTGCACTCCCGTGTGAACTTGCAAAAACTACATAGCAAGAGTATTGAGAAATGGCTTCTCACAATCTGTTTCTCTTTCATGCAAACACACACACCAACCACAGTAAAATTATATTAATTGTCTGTTTCTATATCTACCTCTGCAGCTCTGGTGGGTTTTTTTGTATTTTGTCTTTCAGGTGCTGTTTGTCTTTTGAGAGTGTTTTGTTACAGATGCAGCAGTTGAAGACCCAGTGTGTCTTATGTATTGTGTATCCTCAATTCTTGTCCCCTCCTTTGTAATCTCTGTCTTTTTGTCCCTTTTATTTTTCTATTCCTCCTCCCTCCTGTCTTTATATTATGATCTCTTCAGTCTTTCGCCAACCTAGCCCTCATCCCCTGTCAGTTCCAGCATAATACCCACATACCCACTCCACTCAAAGTAGACAGCATCACGTTTTTTAAAACCTATCACTGATGTTTGATGAAGACAGTTTATTGAATACTTGTAGTATTTCTAGTGCAACGATCATCTTGAGAAAAAGTAACAAAGCATTTCAAATCAGAAGATGACTTACATTTCTTAATCCCTGGTTTTAACCGATGTGCTCCGCCGTGGTCCAAACTGACAAAGAAAAACAGATTCTTTAAATTCAGTACAACAGTTGACATTTTCCAACTAAAGACCAGTTTCATAATTTCTTTATAAACTGCTATTGTGGATAACTTTTAAAAGAAATGTTGGCCAAATCGCTGGTACAACAGCAGCAATTTTGTGTATGTGAAAAAATACTTCAAATGTACTTGTTTGATATACATAATTAACAGAGCTGCATAAAAAAATACATAATAAATTGTATATTTACATAATATTTGGCAAAACTGCACTAAATAATGTTAATGTTAAGTCAGAAAAATTATTTGTCATTTCAGCTTCTATTACATTTTGCTTTAAAGCTGTTTTTGGCTCAGTAAATCAGTGTTGATATTGTTGGCCAATAATTTTTGTCAACAAATATTTTTGAGGAAAACAACAGATAAACATGGGATGAAGACGTTCTGGAAAAACAAAATCCAATCAGAACTAATGACGTTGTGTAAAAAGGCCAAACAAGTTTGGAAGTGATCAAATCAGAATAAATCTCCATGTGCAGGTTACAGGCTACAAAGGAAAAAGCTCCAATGTCCTCAATTTCTCATGAAAACATGACAAAATGTAAAGAAGAGAAGAGTAGATTTATGGACATATTTCACATTTGCTGTCAAGA